TTAACTTCTGAACAATTAATGAAGAGAGAAAACAATAACTTATCACAATCTTAAATAAAAAAAAAACAAACCACAAACAAAAAAACCCACCAAAAGCAAGATTATGTTGAAGTTGGATTTCTATAGTAAAATTCCAGGACAGTTGAAATTGGCTAAGATCTGTATCTTTTTTACCTTCCCTCATCATCTGCACTGTTAAAGCTTTTCTTAGAACTTCTGCTACACAAGCTCTATCTTTTCAACACTTGCACAGCTAGGAAGCAAATGTTTCTGATGTCAGCCATTGTAATGATGGAATAAAACAGAGTCTAAGTGCTCCTTCTATTTTTTGGTTTATTCCTTTTGTTTTATTCCATTATGCCAAATTCGGGCATTATATTTGGTTTATATTTGCCAAATTCGGGCATTATATTAGATCTGTGAGATCTAATCTCAGTTGCAGTGTGTAGGGTTAAAAATGATGGCTGATGGACCTGGTCATACCAGCACTGTGTTTTTGACCTATCCCTGCTATCAGAGGATACACAGAAGGCAATTCTGGTATTCTTGGGAATCTTCACACCACCTTGTCACTTATAAATCTGCAAGTTGTGACTATAAATTCAGAATTTGGACTTACTGTGGGATGAATTTTCAGCTCCTAGAAACAGGTAAAGTGAAGTTGATTTACTGCTTTTTATTTTATTTAATCCTGTAAGGTAAAAGACTTTTCTTCTGGTTTCTCTAGAAAGGTTAATGTACTGGGCTGGCAATACTTGTGAGTACTGCTCTTTTCCCTTTGCTTTGAATCAAGGGGCCCTCACATGCAAGTCCTGCCTTTCTCACATGGATGTGGTTGCTTGCTTACAAATCCTGTGGATTTGTAATAAGTCTGAGAAGCTATCTGGGGATACAGGCAGCTTGAGACATCACGCCACCACTATGCTAATGACACATATCTCTAGATCTCTTTTTTAATCTGACCCAAATGGTGCCAGTGTCCTGGTTTTCTCAGTGCCTGATCAACAAAAGGACTTGGGTGAGACCTTGATGACCAGCTGAGATTTAATTTAAATAGGGCAGAAGTGATACTTACTGCTGGGGAAAGCAGCCTAAGACCTTGGCAGAGATTATGTCTTTTCCTACTAATGAGAGAGAGTATCCTCACCTGAGTAATTTCAGAATTCAGAGATCAGCATTGGTCTCCCGTGTTTGCAGTTTGAATTTATCATTGGACTTGTGACAGTTTTATCCTGTGGCCTCTGGTGCTCAGGCAGAATGCCCAAAGTGTGGTTTGTGAGCACATAAAATAATTTTAAAATATTCACAGACATGACTGGTTTTCACAATAAGCTGATTTTCTGCTCATAGTTGGTACTTTCAGGATCTTAGGCAGAGATTTGTGTAGAGAAATGGCACGTGTTACGTCAGTAAAATTGTTGAAAGTTTTGATTTTTATAAAAATAAAAAGGTGGTGGCTGTTCTTCCTTATGCAGATTTTTGGCCATGTTACTAGAAATTGCTGGATTGGTAGAGTTATCTGAGGCTATGAACGCTTAATGGTACAGAGAAATACACAACCAATAACACACTTCTGAAGCAGGTTTCTTTGGTAGCAGCAAGGATGGAAGGAATTGTCTTCTGCCTCCCCATCAGTGCACCTGCAGCCTAATTTAAGCACAGTACTTGTGTCTAAGCTTCAGGTACTTGAAAAAAAAGTGCTCCAAAACCAAGTGCCCACTTCTGCATCATATTTAATTGGGAAAGGTAAGTGCATTTGACAACTTCGATGAAATCTATTTGCTAAACTAAAAAGTCTAGATTAAGGTCTAATAAACTTCCATTCTGGTGGGCCTTCAGAGGCACCTAACTCCTTTTTGATACAAAAATTTTGAGACATCTCAGTAGGATGGGGGCAGCTCAGCAGAGCTGTTTATCTTTAGACCTTGTCCTTGGGGGATAGTAGGGGTATCTGACCTTATGCTAATGGTACATCTTAGAGTTGTCCTGGAGCTGTTCCTCCAAGTACTTTGCGGATTGGTTGACCTCAAAGCTCATAGAGCTAAAATCAGCTCCCAGATAGTTCATGCCTATGGTGCAGTGCATGGAGTTCGGGCTCAAAAGAGGAATCTGCCCTTGGAGATTTAAAAACAGCCCTTTTGTTATGACTTTTTGCCATAGCCTTTGTTTTCCTGCCTTGAGGCTGTACAAATCAACTGTCATTAAGGGACAGCTAAACTAGTCAGGAGATGAGAGTGAGGAGATGAAAAAATGAAGCAGAAGTACTCCCATCAGCAGGTTTACGATGTTTCTTGTTAAATTCCTCATATGGGATAGTCTGCATTTGGAGATACACTCTTTCCTTTGAACAAGATATTTTTTTCTTTTGAATGTCTAAGAAGCAACCGCCACATTCTGGTGCTCTTGCAAGAAATGGTGTGTGGCACCTTATAAACAAACCAAAGAAGAGACAAGAACAACAATACCCATTACTGGGTGTTTTTTGTTTGCCTGTTGGTTTTTTTGGGGTGGTGATTTTCTTTTTGTTTTGTTTTTGTTTTTTTCTGGTTTTTATCTCTATTGTAGAGCTTATTATTTTGTGATTATCTGTGGTACAGTGACCAGAGGGGTTTAGATGCAGTGGGACAATGGAGGAATAAAACAACTATTATAGATGTGTCTAACTAAGAATTAATCCTGAATCATACTCTCTGGAGGGATCAACTGGTTTACATAAGAAACCACCGTGCAGAATGTGCTAAATATAGGTAACTCTTGCCTTAAAGAGCTTAATGTCCCCAACAGACAGAGAGAATAAGGGGCAAAGAGAAGCTTTGGAAATTAGACATTTTGAAATACTGAGTCACCATGAATTTATTCTGTACTGAAGATGATTTCTGCTCTCCCATTTGCCTGTTTTTCTTCAGTAGAGACGTGCAAGCTACCTCAGGCAGGTCTGCAAGTCTTAACTTCCTTTCTGCTCCTTTACAGGAGAAGCTGTGAAAGGAGCCAGGCAACTAGACTATGAAAAATACAGAGCCACTATTATGGAAGTGTGTTTTGTACAGTGTAAAACCAGCCTTACTGTCAGTCCAGAGCTAAGAGGGAAATCTGCAGTAAAACAGCTGGCAGTGTCGAACAGTTATCATGTTCCCTGGGTTCCCAAAAAATGCAGAATGTGGAGCTACAAGTTAGCACTGCCAGCCATGCCCAGCTGCAATCTGGGAGGTATAAATCGGCAACCTCCAGACTCAGAATCAAGGTACCAAGGGACTAATTTGAGGACTAACACAACTCAGTGACTGTCTGCAGAAAAGTTAGCCTCAGGAAGGACAGATCAGTGAGGCAGCTGAATGGAAGCTGATTAAATACAGTTCCTAAAAGGATGTGAAGGTGACTGAAACCAAGTTTGCTTCATTCATACAAGTGAGACCTGCTAAAACTTTCTTTGTTTTTTCATTTATTTACTTGTGACAGGCCAAATCGGACTGCAAGGGGAAGGGAGCAGCAGTATTGCTTTCTATTCAGTTAATCCTTTTTGCTGAGTCCTGCTACTGCAGCCAGTTATCTGTATACCTTCAAGCAAAATGGGGATTTAAACATCAAAGTACTAATTTAAATTCTAGAGGACAATCATTATGGAGTCATCAAACCTTCCAGCAACTGTAGTTGTTTCTTCTTTGCTCTAAACCTTATCCTGTACTCTCAGACACTGCAGCAGCCTCTGAAGCCAGCTGGAGCTCCAACCAGGATGAAGCTCTTTGTAGCACAATCAGTCCTTTGCGCAAGGGCACAAATCTAAACTGCTACTTAGCCTTTTGACCAGGCCAATAACTTGGTGTTTAGTTCAAATTAATTTAAAACTTGAAATCTTTGGGGGTCCTGTTTGGCCTCTGAAAAGTTTCTTGTCCTATTGACAGAACAAGTTAATCCTTGTATTTCTCGTGGAAACTGCTGTTGTGGCCGAGAGCCCAGGGAGCGAGCAATGCCATGAGGCTGTGCAGGCAACACAGCAGTGTCAGCTCATACCTCTGCAAGTCACACCATGGAATCAAGCACATCCTTCAGCCAGGGCTTCGCATGCCTGGGGTTACTTCTTAAGCCAAGTCAGAAAATGTTCTGTGGGTTTTGTCTTCTAGTGTTTGTTTTTAAGGGCCACAGGTAATGTATGTTATCACCTTAATATTAGAAGTATCTCAGTTATTAAAAGGCTGAGAATGGGCTGCTCCCAGATAATATCCAAACAGTGACTTTTGGCTTCTGCTCCCCACTGGGGAGGTGAAAACACTCGTCTGCTGAGGAGCACCGTTTGAGTCCTCTGTTGTTGCAAAATCATCAGATGCATTCAAACCTCTCTTTTGGTTCTGAATGGATCCTGATTTGTGTGAGCATGTTCCTTCCTGAAAAGTACTTGGAAAATAATCTATATGACCATATTCAGCCTCCAAGCCCCACAGCACTTGCTTTTCAATAAAGTGGTAAGTTTTTAAAATCTGTCTCTGACTGTCTGACTATATGAGGGAAGCTTCTTAGTCACGAGAGCAGAAAAATAACATTGAATTGTCAATACCATAAATAAATCAGTATTTGCTCTCATATATAAATCTGTACATATTAAGCATGAGCATTTGTACATGGCAAAACCATTCCATAGACAGTCATATGAATGAAACACAATCCATGGGCATTTTCATAGGTGCTGAAAAACGAGGTGTAGGCATGTTTGAACTGAGTGCCTGTTGCAGGTTCAAATTTATGCTTGTAGATGCGGTCCTGGTAGCAGCCAGCTGTCCCAGGTGTGGACTTTAGCTCAGGAAGGATGATCAAAACATGCCAAGATCTAAGATGAGAAAGTACTGTACAGCTCACTGTCCAATCGCTGAGGGCCTTTTTTTGATCTTAAAGTTTATTTTGCTGCTGATTTTAACTTTCCTAGCAAAACTACCTGTCACTAAGATATTTCTGCTAAAAACTGTGTATTGCTCACCTTTCTCATCCTCACTGCCTGGAAGAACACTTACCTCTATGAGCATGTAGAAGGAGAGCAGTGTGATCCCAAGGTTATACACAATGAGGTGAGCCCTGAGAGAGAAAGGAGGCCTGTTCTTCATGAACATTTTGCCCAGCCATATGCAGAGTAGATATGCTCCAGTAAGGAAAAATGTGGGAAGGTAAGAGTCCAAAAGGAACCATCCTCTAACTCTGGCATCTAAAAAAAATCACACAGAGCAGGCAATTAAGAAGGCTGTGGTAAAGTATTGCTAAAGTAAGTCAGAATACATCATGCAAAATTCTGCTTAAAAGCATGAGAGGTAATCTGCCATGCTTTGCTCACAAGAGCTATCCATTAACTTCACCTCACCAAAATTGCATGTGAATTCAGAGAATGTGGGTTGAAAACTGCATGGAATTTCCTAATAATTTAAGGTCATTTAAATCACCTCATTTTAATAGTAAAGAGAAAATGGAAAAAACCCCATTCTTATAGGCTTAAAAATTTAATCTAATGTTTTAACTTAGTATTTATTTAAATCCTATCTTAATCTGCTCAATGGACAATTTGCAGATAGTGTTAAATACAAAATATGCATGTAATATTGCCAGGTCATATGTTATTTTAATTCTGTACTTGCCATAGAGGTAGGAAGGTATATAATATTTGCTAGAAAATATTTATACAGGGGAGGACTCTTCCAAAACATTAAATACGAAAAGCAAGTGGCAAACATGTACTTTGATGGTTATCAAAGAACTTTGTCTGGGCAAGGGCTTGCTTTCTCACAGTTTCTGTCCTACTTGCCTGGTCCTAAAATGAAATATTAAGGTCAAATCCTGCTTGCCTTATTCACACAAGTAATCCCATTGGCAGTAATCAGATAGTTCAGTGTATATGAGCAAAGCCTAATCCTAGATGCCAATCTGGAGGCACAACTTTGTTGTCATATGAGCAACTGTATGCCAAGAGCAAAAGGAGTGTGCTTTCTTTTCTTTTTTTTTTCCCCATGATGGAGCAAAATCTAGAGTTAATTTTCCACAGCAACAATATTCAGCCATTTATCTGTGAAAAGAACAAGGGGGCATCATGGCTAGTTTTCAGAAAATTTACTCTAAATCTGTCACGACTTCTGAAGTAAGTGAAGAAAGAAGTCAGTGAGAAGTAAGTGAAGAAAGAAGTCAGTGAGGAGCTATTGTGCAGGTCACACAGAAAGTAGTTCTTTTTGCTTTTAGGAAGATGTTTTTGCTCTTAGAAAATGTTTTAAATTACTTAGTTTATTTTTTACAAAGAACCAAGATTATGTTAAAAATTGTAAAAGAAAGGGTATTCACAGAGCATGAAAAAAATATTTTACTGTTTTTCTGCCTGTGTTGAATTTGGAAAGGACTGGTCAACGGATGACACACAAAGCAAATGTGCCCAAGCATTTAACAATTGATTACAATTTTGCTGTACTGTGTTCTTTCTAACTATTCTTTCCTTAGAAGTATATGCATACAGGTATATGTAAAGTGAAATTTTAAGTGTGTTAGAGTAACCTACTTATGAACCAGGCTATGAACATCAGCTTTCTTTTTCATTACACTCTTCCTCCACTTCTTCCCTTGCATCCATGGCAGTGGCTGTAACATTCATCTGTTGAATTTGGATTCCACGAGGGATGTTAGCTCTTTCACTGGAAAGACTTTCAACCAGGCCCACACTACCATGGAAGTCCAATGTTCTCCTGGTTTTGACTCTCCATTTTGGACTCCCAAAAACGTCTAGGAGTAGAGAGGTGTGGGTAGTCACAACAGCACAACTGCCTATTACAAAGCACAATCCATCCTTATAGGGTAGCCTTGCTTTGCCGTGCATTACCAATCCACAACACCTCTTTTCTGTCTTTGGATCTCAGTGCTTATTAGGATCACCTCAGTGTGATAATAAAACCCTTCCAATACCCTCTTAAAGCTCACAAGCCATGTCTGAAACTGTGGAATGAATGTTTTTTGAGGTGATTCTACTCCCAAGTTGGCTCTTAACAGGACTGAGTCATAGGACAGGTAAAGGTTGTGCATGTAAGTGTTGATGTTTTAGGAGCATAAGGATTTCATTTATTTAATTGGTATCCTAAATGAAGATGTAGAAAGCAGTCATGTCAGCAAGACTGCTATCTAAGGAAAGGTCTCCCATCCAAGGATTGCAACACTTGGTGCATAAAGGTTATGTGCAAAAACGCCAACTGGCATTAGTAGATGACGGAACTGCATGTTTGCTCAAAGAGGAAAAGTACTTGGAAGAGTTCAGAATACAAACTAAACTAAACAGAATTAAATTCTGCCACAGCATGACCTCAGAAAGTTCCATATTGCTCTGAGTGGCCACAAGCATGGGGGCTGATCCATACAAAAGCACAACTAGTGTGCTTGTTCAGGTCACCATGTTAAGTATTTTTAAGTTCTGTACTATTTCAGATTCAAGAGAAATTGTTAAAACATGTAGCCTTCCTGATCATTGTCCACCATGACCTCAATACCTTGAAGTGTAAGACAGTTACTGGAAGAGAGTGGTTTATAAACAGCAGCCAAGGAATGTGACTGTTTTGTTTCCACTTCCACTTATCCCTGAATGACAAGAGGAGGGAGGATTTTATATGTCAGGAAGCGGGAGGAAAGGGAATGTATTTCAAAAGAAGTCATCAGAAGAAGGAGAGATGAAAAGTATTTCTGTTGACTGACAGTTAAATAAATCTCTGTGTTCAAGTACTGTAAAAGTACGCTGTCAATAGCAGAAAGGATTATTTTTACAATATTGAACTTGTACAGCATCTGAGATTGAGACCAAAGCAGTGAATAAAGCCACAGTGGGAAAGCACTGGACTACAGTACGGGAAGGAGCAGGTGCCCACAAGCTCTGATCACTCCGTGAATAGGCTCATTCACAGTCACTGGCCATGATGTGCCAAACCCTTGGGGTGAAATCTTGGCTCCTTTGAAATGAGTGGCAGGCCTCCCAGGTTCTTTAAAGGTATCAGGCTTTTATCAATGAGGTTTAGAAACATTTTGATTCAAGTTTCTGTTTGATTCAAGTTGGCCAGTTGGTGTCTGAGTAGATTCAGACCTTTTTAGGTGCAGAGAGTAGATGGTTTTGCACCAGTGCCTTGCTACAGATCATACTCTATCGAGGAGAAGTGCTTATTACTTTATCATAACTTTAATAAAATATATCTCTTCTTGATTACCTCTGTTTCTTTCACAAGGAACCAGTTAACTAGATTTACCTCCTGCAATTCAATACTCCTTAATTTTCATAATACCAAACAATACTCTGCAGATGAAGGTGACTCTGGAAAAATGATCTCTTACAGAACAATTGAGCTATTTCACTCATTCTCGATCTGCCTTGAGTCTACGAACAATATCAACGAACAAATTAAGAGATGCAACTGGTGGGCATCTATATGGCTTCTACTCCCTGACCCAAAGGACTTCATCTGCTACTTCAAGAGCAAACATTGAGGTAAATCTGCGTGCAAAACCCAGCTGATACCAGTGAATGAAGGTACAAAATATGACTATGTATATAAAATCTATCCTTTTAAGTCACCTTGCTGCTATACGAATTGGATATTGTAGAAGAAAATTGGTGGATAGAAAGAAGGGGAATGGTTTGTGGGTTTAGGTGTTTGGGGAAGCTCCCAAATTCACTAGAATTCATTCACTTCATCTGTGAAGTCATTCAGTTTAAAACTGTTTGCAGTTTATTGTGAATTATTTATGTGAATTATTTATATGAATTATTTATGTGGATCAACACACTGGAGGGAGCTATGTTATTCACAAGATGTATGATGCTGTGTCATTTTACCACCAGTTAAATGAAAGATCAGAGTGAAGAGGCATGGGCATGGACAAACAAATGCTATCTCCAGCACTGTTGTCTGGAGAAGGATGGTGATGTACTTGGCAAGCAATACAAATAATACTTGTTTAATTGAAGGGCTTTCTAAAAGCCCAAAGGGATCTGTGTGCTATTCTGAATTGGATTAACTACAGTTCATTCCTTCAGACAATTTGTCTGGACCAATAAGGAAAGAGGAATGAAAGAGAATATCACGGCCATTTGGGGAAAAAGCAAAAACAAAAACAAAAAACAAAAACCACAAACAAACAAATAAACAAAACCAAAAAAACCAACCAAACAAAAAAACCTCACAAAACAAAACAAAACAAAAAACCACCACCAACAAGAAAAAAAGTAGTACTTTTATTCTTCTGATCACATTTCTTTGTTAATATTAAAATGTACTATTGTAGAAGCCATTAATTAAATCTGTTCTGTTTTAACCACTTCTGCTGCTGTTCCCAAGCTCTTCAGTGTTTCTTCACTGGAAATCTTTCTTTTAAATTTCATATCTACTGCAGAGAGGATGAAAAAGATTTTGTAGCCATCCAGCTAGCTATGAAAAATGAGAATTTCTTGGTTTTACGAACACAATATCTTTCCCTTTTCCTTCTAATTAAGCAAGAATTATTTCTGGGACATGGAGGACATTACTTCAACAAATCAGGAATCCATAACAATATGTCCATCCACATGAGTAGCTGTTCCAGATTTAACCATGGGAAAAAGTTTGCAAGCCAATTCCTGAAGTAGAATGTTTAAATCCAGCCCTATCAACAGCAAGGTGGCCTTGCAGGGACCTTCTCTGAAGACTGTGTTGTCTAAGCTCCTGCCTCACCCCTTCCCTTTATTTGCTCGGCTCTCTTAGCCCTGACTTTGATGCTCCATCCTCATCTGCAGTCCTATTTCAGGTTTGGGTGTTTCTTGCCATTACTTGTTTCAGTCCTAACAAAGCATGAGGAACCTCCGAGCTACAGTTATTTAGGTTATTCTTGTCCAAACTATGCCAGAAAGCAATAAGGGGAAGTTGACAAATGCGTCTGTTCTTCTATCCAGTCTACTGGTTTATTGAAATTTTGGATGTGATCCTGAAGGCAATTTAATAAGTAGCTGGACCGAACAAACTGGATTATGAATAAGAATCAGTCCCAAAACAGATTTCCCACTTTCCAAAAGATCCAGTCTTTCAGGTTTTTATTCCACATTAGGATGTAAAATTGAATTCCTTTGATATTCTCAGAAACAAAGGAATCCCAAATCTAGTGACTTTTCTTTAAGCTTAAAAAAATTTTTAAAAATTGTGTGTCATTTCTTCTTCAGCTTCAGTATAATCTATGATTGGTTTTAAATTATATTACAGATAATATTATGTCAAATACTCAAAATAAAAATCTATTTGCTTTTTATAATTGTAGTGCATTGATAGATTTCCTACCACAATGGTGTGTTCCTGCAAACACTGTGGTTCTGCCTGGTTTACATTTTCAATGATAGATTTATTAGAATTTTTTGGAGTGGTAATCTGTAAAGGTGTTATTTTCTAAATGGGAAATGGAAGTGGAACAGCTTACCTCGAGGTCCAAACATATAGTCCACAAACGCATTTACTTCCCGGTCAAAAGCTTTCAGGGTCTCCTAAAAAATATGGAAAAGGATATGTGACGAAGACATTATCTCACAGCTCACATAGAGAATACATTTAAGAAAAAATCTCCAATAAACTAGTAAAAAATGTGTCATGCACAAGTATTTCCAAATTACTCAACATCATGTATACTGAAAAACATAACAAACCTTCTTAAAAATTAATTTAGGGCAGATTGTGGTCTAGATAACAGTAGAAGCCTTGTTACTGGAAACTGCCCAAACCAGAACTCTTTAAGAAGAGAAATTAAGGTTTTGCAAATGAAAAACAGCAAGTATCACAGTAAAGCCATCTGTGGTGGATGTAGTTTTCACTCTAATAAAGATGCTTCTGTGTTTTGTTATGTTTCCTCAACTGAATTGTTTTGTTTTGCAGAGAGGAGCTGGCCATTCCCTTGGTATGCTTCACAAAACTGCCTGGTTGCAACCAGCCTAGTGACAGCACATCAACTGAATATCTCGATGCTTTATGCTTAAAGAAGGAAATTTTTGAGGTGAGCCAACTGAGATTTATCTAAATCAGTCCCCAAGTTCCTAAAAAAAAGTCTACAGAAGAACCTAGAGCTCCAGCAATGAAGTTCAGCCCATGTAGGGTGGCAGGAAGGGCAGGGTTACATTACAGAGATATTGTGTTTTGAGGTCTAAGTCAATGAAGCTGCTAAGCTGACAGTTTTAGCAAATTTGTGTCTCTTTGTGACTGAGTTGGGAGCTAAGCCATGACCAACACAGTCCTTCCCTCAGTTGGATTTGTGACCTCTGCAAAACATTTCTTTCCAGACTCCAGTGCTGAGCAGTGGCTTCCTGCATGCTGTTGCCTGAACAACTCTTTGCCACAACCTGAGGTCAGCCAGGTTCTTCCTCTCTTCCTCCCAACAGTGCCCTACTGTGCTCGATGAATTAATTTCAGCACTGAGCAAATGCAGCCAAGATGAGGAGAGAGGCACAAAGTGAGCATTTCTGCAGGGCAAGGGGCTGTGGGTGCTTTTGAATGCCAGGTATCTCCACAACAACCTGGACTGCAGACACCATTAGCAGATTTGCCCATGAAGAACCATATTTGCACCCTGGAAGGTCCATCCCTGGTCTCTGCATTCCTTTGCTGGGACTGGGTTGTGGTCTGAACAAAGATAAGTTCCTGGCACTTCCAAGCCCCTTGCTTTTGTTTCTTCCACTCTTACATTTTGATCCTCGGATTGTTCAAAGTGGACAGATTTTATGTGAATATGTGGCAGCAAAAGGTTTTGCAGCATCCTAGGCTGTAAATGTCTATCTCTGCAAGATGCTGCTCAATTTATCTTATCTTAAAGTAAAAGATAAGATAACCAGCAAAACCCCCAAAACTATAAGTATATATTATTTTTTAGAGCAAAAAATAAAGGACTTGCTCAAAAGGAGGAGCATGAAACCAATGACTCATGATACAAAAAGATTTCTCATACTTTGCAGCACCGAGGACTCTAATCCAGCCTTTAGGAAAGTGTCCTGGCTACTGCCCTAAAGAAAGGCATTTTCTGAATTTCAAACGATTTCCTTAGCAGCCTAAAGATGGCTTCTGTTACAGGAGGTGACTCAATTTCCAGGTTCCAGACTTGTGCAAACAGTCTGCTGCCATTTTTACGTCCTTGAGCTATGCAGTTGCTCTGCTGTTATTTCATGATGAAGACACTGCTGTTTGGGAAATGCTGTTTGCCTGTGATGTGCCCACCTGCTTCAGCTATTTGAAACAGAGCTACTCCTGTGCTTGATGGTTTTGTGGTTAGACTTAACAGACTGCTTTGTTAAAAATACTGTAATGGATTCAAGTGAGTTGTAGGAATGAGTATACAAAGCTACCTGCTTTCATGCTTACAGTATATAAACAAATCTTACATGTCAAGAACAAAGTAAAAAAATGTATATTCCTTTCATATTAAAATATTGTAGAGAAAACTACTCTCAGTTGCATTGAAATTGAAATTAGTGCATCTAGCACTTAGATGGAGGAATTCAAGTATTAAAAAAGAAAGAGCAGAAGGAAGATGTTAAAGAAAAAAAAAAAGGAATCATAGAATTTTTTCAGTTGGAAAGGACCTTCTAGGTCATTGAGTACAACCATTAACCCAGCACTGCCAAGTTCACTACTAGACCATGTCCCTACATACATTTACATGTCTTTTAAATACCGCCAGGGATAGTGGCAAAACCACTTACCTGGGTAGCCTGTGCTTGACAACCCTTCCAGTGAAGAAATTTTTCCTAATACTCAATCTAAATCTCCTCTGACACAACGTGAGGCCATTTCCTCTTGTCCTGTTGCTTGTTACCTAGGAGAAGAGACTGACCCCCCCCCTTGCTACAACCTCCTTTCAGGTAGCTGTAAAGAACAAAGTCTCCCTTGAGTTTCCTTTTCTCCAGGCTAAACAACCCCAGCTCCTTCTGCTGTTCCTCATCAGACTTATGCTCCAGACACTTCCCCAGCTTTGTTGCCGTTCTCTGGGCACACTCCGGCATCTCAATGTCGTTCTTGTAGTGAGGGACCCAAAACTGAACACAGGATTTGAGGTGTGGCCTCACCAGTGCCAAGTACAGGAGGACAATCACTGACCTAGTTCTGCTGGCCAGACTATTGGTGATACAAGCCATGATGCCTTTGGCCTTCTTGGCCACCTGGGCTCACGGCTGGCTCTCGTTCAGTCAACTGTCGACCGGTCTAGGTCCTTTTCCGCTGGGCAGCTTTCCAGTCACTCTGCCCCAAGCCTGCAAACTGCATGGGCCTTGTTGAACCTCATACCATCGGCCTCAGCCCATCGATTCAGGCCTCCCAGATCCCCCTGCAGAGCCCTCCTGCCCACAAGCAGATCAACACTCCCACCCAACTTGATGTCATCTGCAAAATACAGCAAGACTCCTTTTTGCATTGGTTACTGTTTTAACTGATCGAATTTGTGACAGTTGACCTCTTACACCTGGCTAGGATGAGCAGACAGCGTGCTGAGTAGATGAGCACTTCTGAAGTGAAATCTACCTCCTCATACGTGTGCTTAAATGACACAGTGGGGACTTGCACCAGCTGACAGCCCTGTTCCCATCTCCTTAAATTAGCACTACAATTCAGTGCCTGGTTTCCTTTCTTTCATAATTGGAGATTACAAATTTTTCTAGGAGGTACCACAGAAAAACAAATAAACTTCTTAAGAATGTCCCAACCTTAGCCTCTCTTTCAATTTTTTTACAGCTTATCTTAGTTTAAGGGAAGAAAAATAGAGATTTACAAGATAGTGATTTGCAAGATTGTTAAAGAAAATACATTTGTTTATATACCTACTACTAGTGTTAACAGTTTGGAAAAGTTCTTACTTTAAAAAGGGTAGGTAATTTTGTATAAGCAGTCTTGTCACCTTCTTGTCAACATTGCTACAAGAGTCTATACTGTATTTCTGGAGTTTAGAATATGTCCTTAATAGCCCCTGTGGGCAGATCAGATGTAAATGTGTTGCTCAACATGATCTGTCATATTGCTAAAGAAAAGCAAATAAAACCAGTCTGAACAAATTTACATGCTCAGACAACTCACTTCTCTCTGGCAAATCACTGTAATAGCCTTTATCAATGAAGGTATTTGGTTTACAAGGCTAAAGATTACCATGTCTCTTATGTTGTTTCTTCTTTCGTACAGGACATTGCCCTGGGCATTAGTAATGCTAGCATTTTGGCAGGATTTTGGATAGATTTGTGGAAGATCTATTTACCCAAAATTATAAGAAAGACATTAGGTTGTCTGAGCAAATCAAATAACCCAAATGGAAAGATGGGGAGGGAGCATAATGCCAATGATGATAAAGCGACAGAGTTTCAGTATTTTTGCACAGAAATGTAAATAGGTGAATAAGTAGCACAGTGCGTGTAAGTGAATTAATATTTTATGCTACTGCACTTGAAACATAATTTCAAAGTCATCAGGTATGTAAAAAATATATCAGTTCTTGTTCTATGTTTATATATCTTTGTTAGTGTTGGTCTTCATTGAGAGACCAATGTCTACTGGTTTTCTAGTCGTTTTAGTAAAAGTAGTATGACATGTAAAAATTAGGTAGCAGCTATCTAAACAGTGCAAATATCAAAACACCTTTGATTTGTCCTTTGATTTCTCAAAATACCAATATTCTGTCATTAGGTATTGTCTACTGCCCACTGAAAGACTGCTTCAAGTGATTTAAGTTTCTCTTTATATAGCTCTAAAAACCAGGCTATCTGGATCCAATGGAAACACAAAAAAGCTTTCTGAAATAAACTTCCTACAGATGCGTAAACTGCATTCAATCTCATTTATGCTGTCTGGAAACCATTTGTATTACTGTTTTTTATTTTTTCATTCAAAAGCCTTACATGTCATTCAGTGTCTCAAAAATCCAAGATAATGGGTTACTTGTTCTTATACAGCTACACAGAAATCACAATACTCTGTACAAAATGAGATCTCATTTTAGGCTTCAAAGAAAAAATAGAAGTGGGTGCCAGGCTCCGCTCTCCAATACAGCTTCTGGAAGCAACTGTAATATTTTAAACAACCCTGATAGAAAATATATACAATATATACAATTTTTATTATTTCAATGGCATTTTTTCCTTAATTTCCTGAAGAGTTCTGCTCTGTAAATAGTCAGTGACTGAGAAGTACTCGAATTATTCTGAATTTACCAGCACTTTTAAAGAAACTGATTTTAGATGCCTGCCTGCACATATTTAAATATACAAATATTAAAGAAGTTTTCAGAAACTGTAGCGTTGGCTCCAGAATGGCTGAAATAGTGGATGAAATGAAGCAGAGGGAACTCAAAGTAAAACCTAGAACTGCTTATAAAAGAAATTGTTTATCTTTTTATTGCTTGGAGCATTTAAAATTACTCTGGAACAAAGATGTACAACAGGGGACAATTCTCCACCACAGATTGCTTCAGACAACCCTTAAGGTTTTTGTCATCTTTATTGCTCTTGATTTTTGTGTTATATCT